TTCATTTTGAATTTGTGTTTCCTTTTTAGTTGTTTATTTTCTTTAATCGATCCTTAGTTCAAACTGTTTTGCCAGCGAAGCTTTCGAACAAAATATATATATATTATATCTATAATATTATATATATATATATATATATATATATATATATATATATATATATTATATATATATCTAATATATATATATTATAATGGTTTAAAATTTAGTAATAAGTTTCTCCCTAAAAATGTAAATGACTTCCATAATTAAAACAAATTTTCTCCAATTTCATTATTTAAAAAATAAAGCTTGTAATTACCTTTTCATCATCATTAATTCTTGAATATGTTCAATATCACCACAGCTAATCACACGTTGTTCTTCTTCTGGACAGAATGTGTTTTGTGGAAGAAAAAAACATATATAACATTCAAATTCTTCCATTAATTTCAATAGACATATTCTTGACAGTCATCTTAGTGTTTGAAGATATCATGAACAAGATTAATTATGTACTTATTAAAAATTTTTAAGAAGAAAATCGATCTTAACAATCGATTTAGTAACATTTACCACTCAGAAATTTTTTTAAATTTGGTTCTAATTAATTAGAGTCAAAAGAAGCTGGTAATATCATTAATAATACCTTCAACGACCGCCTATAATTCAAGACTTAATTATGCGGAGAAAATTAAGAATTTATATATTAGCCATTATAAAATCAATCTCCATCGATTCTTGATTAACAAAGTCCGAGTAACATTATCAATCAGCTAATTGAGCTACATAGAGAAGGCAATGACGAGAAAGCTTCTGTTTTGTGCGTAGATTGGTTGTATGCTCACATAAGTTTCTGATATCGGTGAAGCTTTGTTGGGAGTATTCATCTTCAGTTGCATGCACCAAAAATTCACACACAAAGGGCCTATGTGGTGGCCTTGTTCGGGATCATCCCTTCTATGATTGTCCATCGTGACAACATCTATAACTGGGCCACGCGAGCTTTAGTCAAACTGGGGGAACGTTTCACTACAGGGGCTATTAATGGAGGCGCCTATGGAATCGCAACAGCTGATCCTTCCAACATTGAGTACATGGTGAAAACAAAGTTCAAGAACTTTCCCAAAGGAAAATATTACAGAGAGAGGTTTCTTGATTTGCTAGGAGATGGTATATTCAATGCCGATGTGAATTATGGAAGGAACAAAGACAGATGGCGAAATCCCAGATGCACTCAACCCGGTTTATGGAGTACTCGTTCCAGACCATGCAGATTTGGTTCATGAGAAGCTGTTGAAACTGACTGAGAAGCTGGTAAAATCAGGAGATAAATTTGATCTCCAAAAGTGCTGCTCGATTTACATTGGATAACATTTGCACTGCCGCTCTTGGAGTTGATCCCGGATGCTTGTGCTCGATTTACCTGAAGTTCCCTTCGCAAAAGCTTTTGAAGAAGCCACGGAATTCTCTTTGTTCAGGTTCTTGTTTCCACCTTTCGTATGGAAACCTATGAAGCTGTTTGGACTAGGGTATGAGAGACGGCTCAAGGAAGCCATTGAAATTGTCCGTAATTTTGCTCAGAGATTGTGACTGAAAGGAGGAATACTTAACAGTCTTGGTAGCTTAAATGATCAATCTGATCTTTTGTCAAGACTTATGGATACTAATGAAAACTTTAAACAAGACAAGAATAAGCAATTCTCCGATAAGTTTTTCATAGATTCTGTAAAGTTTTATCTAGCTGGGAGAGACACCACTTCTGTTGCATTGGCGTGGTTCTTCTGGTTAGTAACACAAAACCCAAAAGTGGAACAAAAACTTTTCACTGAGTTCAATATTATAGCTCAACGTAAGGGAAAGCACCAAGACAATGTAAAATTACGGTTGAAGAATTAAAGAAAATGGTTTACCTTCAAGCAGCGTTATCTGAGTCCCTGAGGGTGTATCCTCGGTGCCAGTTAAATGAAACAAGCCATGGAGATGACCTGCTCCCGGATGGTACAATTGTGAAAAAAGGTGCTCGGGTTGTGTATAGCATATTTTCAATGGGTCGCATGGAGTCAATCTGGGTAAAGATTGCTTGGAATTTAAGCCAGAGAGGTGGATTAATGGGAGGGAGAGTTTGTGAGTGAGAATCAATTCAAATATGCATGTTTAACGGTGGCCGAGGCTGTGTATAGGGAAGAAATTTGGTACATGCAGATGAAAATGGTGGCTGCTTCAATCATGTTGAGGTATCGATTAAGGTAGTTGAAGGTCATATGTTGTTCCAAAAGTATCAACTACACTCTACATGAAGAATGGGTTATGGTGACCTCAACCTTAGGTGAATTATTATATTAACAAGAGTCTATGGCATTGAATATTTGATTCGTATCTAGGCTTTTGATTATATTTGAATATGTGATGTGAACAAGGGAATGGCTTTTCATTTAGCTTAAATTTAAAATTTCTAACGGTTATATATCTTCATATATATATATTATATGCCAAATAAAGGAATGCAAGAATTATAGGATATCTTCGAGTATACTTATATAATATATTTTGATTTTCTTGCAAATTTTCGCTTGCTTTAAGTGGTATATAATTAGGTCATTAATATTATAATCTAAAGATTCTATAATTTTGTATATAAGAATTTGTATACCAACTCTTTAGTATTATTATTATCTATCTTAATTAATTCAGTGTTTTTTCAGGGTTTGGCATCTAACAGTATAACCCAAATTATAAATTAGCTTAAATTGGTAAAAAAGTTTCTAGCTATATTAGAGATTATCCTCTGATCTCCTCAAAGGTTCATTGTGATTTAGCATAATTATTAATTTTTTTTAAATGAATGAACAGATAAGAACGTATTTGAATTGGTGCGAGATTATTTAAGAGTTATAATTTTAACATAATAACAAAATTCTTCTAAGTTTCTAAAATAACAAAAGGGAGAAGACTTGTACATACCCAACATTTGTCGAATGATAATTGATACCCAAAGGTTTTAAACGACAAATGGGTACCTTTCGTCATGTTCTGTTAGTGATTTTCGTTAGATATAGTGAAAAGACTAAAATGCCCTTGAAAGTTTTAATTTTTAGTTTTTTATAAATTTAAAAATTTCTAAAAAACCCCCTAGGTTTGCTATTTGACTAAATACCCCAATATATAAAAATTTTATAAATAAATACACCCCCGCCACCCACAGTGTCAGATTCCGGCCACCACTGTCGGAATCTGGCCGAAAATGTGTACGACACAGACCCATCGGATCTGTGTCTAACACAACCGACTGGCCTTTTCCGCCAGAATCCACCAGGATCTGGCCAAAAAGGCCAGATCTATGTCTGGCCTTTTTCGGCCTCGACAGCCAGATCTGGCCTTTCCGGCCAGATCATCCATGGATCTGGCCAGAAAACGCCAGATCGATGTGTTATGACACAGATCCGATGGGTCTGTTCGTAACACAATTTTCCGGCAAGTTGTTTCTCTTGACGGCCAGATCTGGCCGTGATCTGGTCTTTTCCGACCAGTCAGCCACGGATCTTGCCGGAAAATAAATCTATGTGTTACGATGCAATTTTTCGGCCAGATTCCGACGGTGGTGGCCGGAATCTGGCACTGCGGGTGGCGGGGGTGTTTTTTTATTTTATAAAATTTTTATATATTGGGGTGTCCAGTTAAATTAGCAAACCTAGGGTTTTTTAGAAATTTTTAATTTATAAAACTAAAAATTAAACTTTCAAGGGTATTTTAGTCTTTTCCCTATTATCTAACGAAAACACTACCAGAACATGACGGAAGTTACTTATTTATTGTTTTAAACCTTTTAAATACCAACTTATCATTTCAATAAATCTTGGGTATGCATAAGTCGTTCGGACCCCTAAAAATCCTCTTACTCTTAGTGAATCATTAGTTAACTTTGATAATTTACACTATATAAAAGTTAATAAATACTTACCAAATTACTTCTATACTGTTTATTTTAATACCATTATCATGACGGCCGAGAGATATTTCTTTTGTGAGGATATTTTATATTAATCATCCATCAAATAGTCAAAATCATTAAGTCATTATTTAATTAGTATTTTTTTATTGGTGAAAAATTAATTTGTAGTGATACATAATTACAGTAAACCACTCACTCGTGCCCGAGTGGATAGAAAAGTGCATGATTAAAAACATTATTAATCTTGAGTTCGAGATGCGCCAAGAAATGATTAATTACCATATATATATATATATTTGATATTTGATTTCGATACCAACAATTCGTATGTGTAAAATGCTAAACGAATTTAGAAATTATACGTGATATGGAAATGTGTAACAAGAGAAGAGACAAAAGACGATTTTTAAAGTGGTTCGGATGCTCAAAAGCGAATTCTATATATTATATATGTATTAATGGATAATTACAGTAAAGTCGTGTACAACGAACTGAGTTACAATTTAGAAAAAAACTTAAATACAAAGAAAGAATCTGCTTTAGAAAACTAAAGAATGAGTGAATCTTGTAAATGAGAGAGAAACCCTTTATTTATAGTCGAGGGATTCAAAGTAGTAATCATGATTCTACAGTCGAGCAGGTGTGATACACTTTCTAACCTGCTTCCCATTGGTTGTTTGCATAGGAGATATCCTTAAATCGGGTAGGACTTGGGCAGGTGAACAATTCCTAACCACTCACAAGTCAGACTTTCACCTGCCATACTGACAACATCCATACCTCTTCCATCCTTGCGCAACGTGGCAGTATCTGGACGGTACAAAGTTTTCCTAAACTTTGATTGGCCTTTGTCGGCATGAGTCTACGTCAATTCTGATTTTTTAGACATAATATATGTATTAAATTAAGGATCAAATCGCAAGATTTACCTGTAATGGGAATTCCGTTATTAATAAGATAACAAAAGGGCAATTGAATCATAGCATCCGAATTATGCATAAATACATAGCCAAATTTACCAGTAGTATAAATAAAAAAGTTACTGTAATTTAAACCGAAATAATAAAATCAATAAGAAACCCCTCAGTTTCTTATACTCCAAGTCTCAGACTTCATAAAGCTTCAGCGCCTTTCAGTTCTCTCTATTACTTGAATTTTTCATCCATCTTTCGGGCGATCTCTTCTCCTTCATTTTCAGTAAGTTTCGTTCCAATCAGCTTTTATTTAAATGTAAATCCTTTTCTCTTCCCTCTGTTTGGTTACTTAGAAAGCCAAGGAAAAAGTGAAGAAAAGAAGAAAAATAAATAAATTATGTTCGTCTTAAGCCAACTAATTAATTGTATTTGATCCATTTGATAGTATGTTTGAATTCTTCTCTTACTGAACAACTGAAAATATTAGGTCGCATTTCTCGTTAACAACGGGAAATTTAGATTCAACTAAGGCTGCTTGTTCTGCAAATTTTGCATTCTAGGGTTTTTATTTTTATATGTATTAATTTAATGAGAATGTATGTCTTGTATTTATGAATTTGAACGATTATGTTAGTCACCATTGGAGTTTTAAGCTTAATCAATAAAAAAATCTCGATGACCATCAGTGGCTTGCTTTTGGATTAGACATCTTGTTACATCATTCATTTATTTATTTATGTAATTGCTTTAAATTCTTCTAGTTAAACGCTATTTGCTTGGTTAAATGTTGTTGATATGTTGGATTTATGAAGCCATTTTTCTGTCTTCAATTATTAGGTTTTGTTTGTTGAATTCCAATATAAGTATGGCAGTCACAGAACTTCCTTCAAAAGGTGGGTTTAGTTTTGATTTATGTAGGAGGAATGATATGCTTTCGAAGAAAGGCACTAAGCCTCCATCTTATCGCAAGACTGGGACAACAATTGTTGGTCTAATCTTTCAGGTATTTATAATCTTAGAACCGTTAGTTGATATACTTTCAGCTCCTTGTTTGGTTTGTTTGCATTTTTTGTTTTGAATTTTGAATATTATGTTACTTATGTTATAGTGGGAGGTATGGAGTTCGTTTTTATTTCTTTAGGATTCGTGTTGATAGAATGGGTATACTTTGTCACTGGCCATCTACATACTGCCATCCTCCGCTCCTTTACCAGCTGGAACCAGCTGATTTAGGGAATCACACTTAATGCTGACTCTGACTGGTTTGGAATTTATGCATATTTGATATTGCTGTCTTTTAATTACCCTGTTTAGCTACCTATTAAGTTATCATATTAAGTGACAGAGCATGTTTGATTATGCAAAGTTATTGTTCAGATTGTCAGAAAAATACAACTGTGGAGCTTATAATTTAGTATGGGGTGTCTGTGGTAGGGACCAGAAGATTCATATTTAATTATTCCAAGGCATGTATAGATTATGTGTGGAAATGGAAGCTACGATATATTTCTGGGTTGCATTTTGTTAGTTGTGACTTGTGAGTCCATCATTATGCTTAAATTTTTGTTGGTTTAAAGTTATTTTGTGATCATTTGCAAGCCTCTCTATGTTTAGATACGTACATATGACTTTGATCAAGCATATTTTATGTATCTGGTTCTTTGTTACTTTTGTTAGAGCTCTGGTTTTGTCATTCAACTTTGCTTTTTTGCTTAAATTCTTTATAGGATGGAGTCATCCTTGGAGCAGACACCAGAGCAACTGCTGGGTTCATTGTTTGTGATAAAAATTGTGAGAAGATCCATTATATGGCACCTAATATTTACTGTTGTGGAGCTGGAACTGCTGCTGATACAGAGGCTGTAACAGGTACTTTCAAATTTTATCTTTAACATCCAGGACAATGATTAAAACTAATGCTTTTGCATTCTACATTATAAACTGTTATATTCTTATCTCCTCTTTAAAATTCAATGTCAGTCTTATGATTAGTTTATGTTTAATTATTATTGTCTCCAGACATGGTTAGTTCGCAGCTGCAGCTGCATCGATATCATACTGCTCGTGAATCAAGGGTTGTGACAGCTCTTACTCTTTTGAAGTCTTATCTTTTCAAGTGAGCCAATTTTGGGAATACTGCCCTGAGAACTGCTTTTGTTTTTGTTTTTAGCAAAAAATAAACCAGGAAGTTCTGACTCGTTATTTCATTTGTCAAGATACCAAGGTCATGTACAAGCTGCTTTGGTGCTCGGGGGAGTTGATGTCACTGGGCCACATCTACACATTGTATGTTAGTTGTACTTGTGCAACCTGAACTTTCTTGTTCTCTTAATGTAAGTCGTGCTGATTTTTGTTATTGAATTATCATATTGTACAGATCTATCCTCATGGATCTACAGACACACTTCCATTTGCTACAATGGGCTCTGGTTCACTTGCTGCAATGGCTGTTTTTGAGTCAAAGTATCGCGAAGGGCTGACTGTAAGTTGTTATGCTAAACTGTTGGATAGCAATTGGCTGCCAGAAAATATCTGTTATTTTTGTATTCAGTTTTTAAGATTTGTTACTTTAGTTATCTCAATAATATTTTTTCAAGAAAAAAGTAGTTAATGGTATTTTTGTGCAGAAGGAAGAAGGAATAAGTTTGGTGTCTGAGGCTATCTGCTCTGGCATATTTAACGATTTGGGAAGTGGAAGCAATGTTGACATTTGTGTGATAACAAAGGTTTATTGATTATTCCCTAAATTTTGTTGGAGAGGAGAACCTTTTCTGTATGTACATTTATTTCGTTATTACTTCTTTGACAGTCATTAATAACTTGTTTTTTTATGATGCTTGGTTGTGTAGGGGCACAAAGAGTATTTGAGAAACCATCAGTTGCCCAATCCTCGCTCCTATGTCAGTTCAAAAGGATATTCTTTTCCTAAGAAGACTGGTTAGTAACTATTTTTACAGCATCAGTTTCATTTTGCTCTCTGTCATTAGCTTTGTGAAGTCACTTTGCAAACATTTCAATAGTTGTATAAGCTATTTTATGTCTTATTGATAATTTGATAACATAATTCTGTCCTGGTTGCAGAGGTTCTTTTGACAAAGATTACACCATTGAAAGAAAAGGTGGAGGTGATTGAAGTAGGAGATGCAATGGAAGAATAAGGTTGAACTGCATTCTGTGACTGATTTTGCTTTTGTTACACTTCCGGGTTGTTTATGTTTTATCATGCATTTTAATTTAAGTGCAAGCCAGGGAGAAACATTACAGATTTCAATTGTCAAACTGTGATAAGATGTTCGTTTTCATGATTTCATAGTATGCACGGATTAATTGAGCTAGTACAGCCGTTCTGTCTGTTAATTTTGTGGTCATGCATTTTAATGATTGTAAATGTATAGACATAAAAGGAATTGACCTGGAAATTACATATTATTATTCTTATCTTTTTAGGTTTTTACTTCATGTATGTATACTGTAAACACCCTTATTTATAAGTACAATGGTGATTATTTTTTACTATGAGTCATGTCCCATGCAATGACCAACATAATTAATTACAATAGGTTTGCATTTACTCTTTAACTAATGAGGTTGACCCAGAATTCTTTAATTGATTTCTAGTAGAGGCGGCATTCTGCATTTCGCCATTTCCAACTGTAAATTCCCATGTCCTGGTTGTCTATTAGTTGCATTTAGAGCTGCCATCAGAACGAGTCAAATAATTTCCATAGGAAATCTTTTCCAGGTAAATCCAAACTCGGGTTGAACTGTAAGAATGATTTAGTTGTAGTTGAACTTCTAGTGCTGTCAACGAGTTTGAACCACTGACTTGCCGGATCACATGTTTTATCTGTACCCAAACATTTACAGGTATTTGTAACCAGGGTGTTGCTTGAGTCTACATCCAGGCAAACAGTAGTGCCATCTTTTGCCTGAGATGACAGGTGCATCTTAGAATCTGATATGATTTCCCATCTTGTATTAGAGTTGGTGCATTTTATGCCAAGTTTAGCTGGCTTCCCCAACCCGTTTGATTGTATGCAGAAATATGTCCCCTTCAGGTATAAAATCTTCTGGGGTGTGTAGTTCCATGGTTCTGTGTCGGTACAAGGACCCAACCTCAGAGGGTCAAAGTATGATTTTCTGAGGACACAGAGACCTGTTAATGGATGGAAAATCACTTTGTGCAAAGATCTTTCTGATAAACCGGGTCCTGCATTGCAAAACAAAAGTTCAGATTTATGAATCATTATCTATAATTTCTGAACCAACAAGGACTTTTTTCAGTTTTTCCTGGTCTTCCCATTAAGTTAGGTTATTTTACCTCGAGATGGAGATTGAAGAAATAATATTCTCTGTAAAAAGCTTGAATTTCTGATCTCACCCCAGTTCCAATTCAATACTCCATAATACTCATTTAACCCAACAACCCCTTCTCTCAAATAATAACTCCCAACTAGCGTCCACAATGCCCAATCCAAGTCAAGCTCAGTTAGCACACCCAAGATGCAGTTCAAATACCTATTATCATTCACATTGGTTCCCCTTAAATCCACTCCCCACTCACTCACCAACAATGGCCACCCTTTGTCCAACAAAAACCCTGATGAACCCTTCATATTATTCACCACTCGCCCGCACACTTGATTTGGATTACCATTTACCCATGCCTGCCCATCTGTAAAACTATACCAGTGTACCTCGAATACTGTCTTCCCAGTAAACGTGAGACTCACTGGTTGGTTGCGAATGAATGATAAGTCTTTGTCAAAATTTAAGCCGGAGAGAATAACAAGAACATTTGGGTTTGCTGAATGCACTGCTTCAGCTCCTCTCTGCATATATCTAGCACATGAATTCATGTAGGGAATTAGACTTTGATTGTTAGAAAATTCATACAACGCCGGTAATTAAATTAAAACTTGTAATTGCAGAAATACATGAATGTACATGTACCTGTACCAATCATTTACATTCTGTTTGGGGCCTCGGAGTTCATTCCTCAAGCTCATGCCAATAACATTAGTGACTCCATTAAACAGAGTAGCCATTTTGGTGAGACCATTGATCCACAGTTGCGGATCAAAGTACTGGTCGCCAAAGAATCCATTGCCATCAGTGTTACTGCAGCACCAACCTGGCTTTGTTATGTGATTATCTAATATCACCATCACATTGTTGTCCCCAAGGTTGGATACCACTGCCTGAAATTATGGCAATAATGGCGTTTTATTATTTAAATATAAATGTCCAACTATTTTTACATAGTGGTTGGTCACCTAGATTCCTAAAACAAATTTATATGATCCAAATAAAACGTTATTTAATGGCACTTTTATTAACATCATTGTATACGCTAGACGCGGTTAAGAAAAATCATTCACGTCTCTATAAATCCATTGGTTTCATCATAAATGGGCAATAGCTTATCTTTTCCTATCCCAATAAACTATTCATCCTACGTAAGTTTCAACTAACATACAATATAATATTTATATAAGTATGTTATACGACATCGACTAGTCATAAAACAATCAAGACTTACCGGTTATTCTTGATAAGATCAACCAAACTCAAAACCTGTAAAATTATTAAGCAATAGATGGTAGTTCATCGCACCTGGAAGGCTTCTATGAGGGGAAGGTCAATGATAGAGGGGTTGTTTGTCTGAATACCGGCAATGGCTTCAGTCAAACCAAGATTCTGAAAAGACTGTCTGACTGTGAGAAAGGCCAAGGAATCATTGGTGGCCAAATAGATTGGCCAAGTGAACCTAACACAATTGAATCCCATAGCCAAAATCCCTTTGGAGATGACGTCCACCGGCTTCTTGCTAAGTCCCTCTGCAACAACTGGTTCGAGATGTGACGCCCAATTCACGCATGCTAACTTCACTCGTTGCCCGCTTTGGTCGTCCACGATCCATCTCGAGTTGGTGGAGAGAGGAAACCCCTTAGCTGGTTTAGCATTTAGGATGGAGAAGAGTATGAGAAGAGGCAGAAAAGAGAGGAGGGAGAAGGAAAAGAGCCTCCCATGTTTGTGTTTTCCTCAAATGACAAACAACACTCGTAAGACCTATTTATATATATATGAAAAGATAGACAGCTAATCCTTTTCACCTAATTATTTATTAATATCCTCTATTTTTCCATTTTTTTTTAGTGATGAGCAGGTTAATAAAGTCTAGTATTTCAGCATTATCAACATGTTCCTTTTGGTCTTAAGTTTTGAGAAACACGACGAATATGGTACGTGTCCTGGCCTCAATTAATGTGAACAAAGTAGATAATTGTTATTGTAATTGCGATATGAAATAAATAATTAGATTTGAGAAGAACGGGATCAGCATGATGGGTGTATATATATATATATATATTCTCTATCCACTAGAATCCAAACTAATAATCATATATTATATTAGAGTGAATGAGAAGAATGTTGAGTTAGGTTTAATTAAAGTGTTGGTGAAATATTAACAGAAGCGTCGGTGATTTGAGACGTGCATGATTAATAAATAGAGATGGAGTAGGGTTGATGAAATGACTCAAGTGTATTGATGTTGGAAACACGGCAAGGAATAGGGTGTGGGCACAAACTCAACCGAAGCTCAGAAATAGGCATAGCATAGCCATTGCACCATCTTTCTTCTGGGGAAAGAGATTACGTTGTTTAGCTACCTTATAAGGCAATGCATACACTACGCGATTGTAAGATTTTGGGTGGTACAATTTTAAAATAAATATATATTTTTTCATATATATTCCTTTATAAACAATCAATTTATCCCACCCATTTAATGATCAATTTTTAAAACAAATTGAGATTGTCCCATCATCTGATGAGAAAATCATCTGTAAGATATGTATGGATAAAATCTGGAATCATGTTGAAGGGTGAGAGGGATATCTATCCATCACAAGATATCAAAATCTTCATTTTTTATTTTCATATTAGCATGCCTTCCTCTCATATGCAAATCTCTGTCAAACCTATTCATCAACATAGTTTATTCTAAAAAAAATTATTTCATTAGATGGTTTTTTTAATATTACTATAATTTTTAATGATTTTATTACAATATTTCATATTTGTCATAAAAAGTTAATAACAAATTCAATTTTTTTTATTTGCTTATATTGTATTAAGAAAAAAAAAAAACACCATTCTCAAATTTCGAAAATACAAAATTCAATTTTTTATTTTTATTTTCATTTTCAAATTATATTTTAAAACCTGATAAAGAATATCACCTTAATTTCTAATTATCAGCTTACAAAATCTTAAAATTATTATACAAAACCGTACCAAATTTTATATTAAAAAAATATTAAATAAGCCCATAACCTTCTATCCTTTGATCGGAGCTTAATATCCTTGGGTTAAGTTAATTTGGAGTAATATCTTCAACCACATGTGGACATGGAACTTTGCATCGAATTTTTATACCGAACTACGTGTCATCACACTATGAACGACTGTTTACTATTATTAGACGAACATCCATCAAAGATAGACGTCCATCCATGTGAAATGAACGATGATCGGATGTCCACCTATAATGAACGTCCCTCCATAATTTAAATTTAAAAAATTTGAATACAAAAATCATGTACGTCCATGCTAATTGACGGGCGGTCATCTTTTACCTTCATTCGACTCATCTGTTTCTTGAGGGATCTGCGGTCATCTTCCACTGTTGCTTTCTCCCACTCTTCATCTGTGTTTGTTGTGGAGTGTGAAGCATCACGGGGATTGTTGTTAGGGGCATGAACCCCTGCAGCAGTTCTAACCTGCTCAAAAAAGAGAACTTGCACCACAACTCGGAGTGGCAGTCGTCCATTGAGCGCCGCGTGCACAGATGTATCTATTGTCAGTTTTCTGACATCCATCAGCCCACATATCTTCCGTCTTTCAGCCTTTGTCAAGCCTGGGTGCTCCTGATGATATATTAATAAACCAGTACTTCATTATCAGAAATTGCTTCACCATTAGACATGAAATTTCCACTTTTGCATCTTTCTTGCATGCAGGGATCTCTCGTACAATAATTTCACTCAGCTAAGCCCTGGGCAATATGCTTGTCAGGACAGACGGTGAAGCAATTACTGATAATGAAGTACTGATTTATTAATATATCATCAGGAGCACCCAAGCTTGACAAAGGCTGAAAAAAGGAAGATACGTGGGTTGATGGATGTCAGAAAACTGACAATAGATGCATCTATGCACGCGGCGCTGAACGAACAACTGCCACTCCGAGTTGTGGTGCAAGTTCTCTTTTTTGAGCAGGTTAGAGCTCCTGCAGGGGTTCATGCCCCTAACAACAATCCCCGTGATGCTTCACACTCCACAACAAACACAGATGAAGAGTGGGAGAAAGCAGCAATGGAAGATGACTGCAGATCCCTCAAGAAACAGATGAGTCGAATGAAGGTAAAAGACGAGGAATTCCAGAAGAATGGGAAATTAATTAAGAAGAACAGTAAAAATAGCAAAAGTGTCGTGCAATTGTTATCATCACAGTCAAGGAGAATAAAATTTAAATTTTGGACGGGCGTCCACTTCCATTATTAAGCGACGGCCGTTCAAAAAATTTGAATAGACGTCCATTAAATTGAACATAATTTTAACAGACATCCAATAATGGTGGACGCTCATCCATTATTAAGGGATACCCGTCCATAACATTTAAACGGGAGTCCATTAATTTTGTTTTTAATTTATAGTTTGGACGGACATCCATTAAAGGTGTTCGCCCATTTATTAGTATAGATAGTCCATGATTTTTGTTTTCAAATTTTTTAAATTTAACCCGTCCATAGTAAATGGACTCCTATCTATATAATATGGACGAGAGTCTATTGTTTATTTCGCATGAACGAGCGTCCACCTTTGATGGACGTCTGTCCAATAACAGTGAACGGTCGTCCATAGTTAATGAACGGTCGTTCACTCGTAAAATATTTGTTAAAGTAATACGTGGCTGATCTGAGTGTGATGACACGTAATTCGATATAAAAATTTGGTGTATAGTCTCAGTGTCCGTAACATTATTGATGCAAGTGAGTACGTAGAAAGTAATTTTTGGTGATATATAAAATCGAAGAAGACTTAGCACCAATATTGATAAGTTATAGAATATAATTATTTGTAATACGAACTGATTAATAAATTCTAGACATTTCTTTTAAGATTCTTTAATGTACAATTTTTCAGCAAAAATTTAGCTAAAATGTTTATTATGATATTTCCATAATTAAATTAATCATTATACAATTTAGATAAGTAGTACAATTCATTTTATTATTATAAGTTAATGTGTGAAAATTGACAATTATTAGTTTTGGAACTGATCAAAATATTGGTATAAAAAAATAAAATAAAATAAATAAATTCTGAGGGTATTTAGAAAATAGACTTTGAAATTTATATCAAATTAGTTGAATAATATAATGTGAAATGTAGAACCAATAATATTAAACTTGGAACAATGAAGCATGGTGCCAAAAACATTGCACGTCAGACCTTCAGCATGGAACTGAAACCTATAAATATAACGTGAAAAATAAACATAATATTTGAAAGTTACAACACAAAACCTTAAACTATTAACATTAAATTTGAAACTAAAGAAACTCGGTACCAAGAACAACATATACGATACTTCTAACATTAAATATGAATCTAGAAATGTCAAACTTGAAATTAAGAAGATTTGATATTAAGAATATTAGATGTGTCACAAATAACTTGAAATCTTTAATGTGGACTTAAAAGGGTTTTTAATTAAAATAACCATATTTTAGGGGGCATTTACGTAAGCAACCATAAGACTGGACCCTACACTGATTAACCAACTAATTTAATTAAATACAATTTTACCCTCATCCCTAACCTCTCAATACTTTATCCCTAGCCCTATCAATTGCAAAGAGTCCCATTTGCAAAATCTCACACCCAAAACACAATATCAAGTAAGGAAAATCAATATATCCAGATATTAAGATTAATCTTAACTTTAAATTCTTAAATCTATCTTTTTTTATAATCTTAACTTAGAATGATTGCGTCTTATTATTGTGTTGATTTTTGGTTAATCTGAGTTTGTTTTAAGATTTATGAGTGAATAAATGATGTAATGCCAATTATGTTGTAGTGATAAAGTAGATTTAGGGATGCATTATTCGAGAAATTAGCGTATAGAGAAAAACGCGCTCAATTGGCGTGATTTTCCAATTGGCGTAAAGTATCATGCTAACTGAGGGATTGTTTACATATATTCCCTAGTTGGCATGATATTATAAGCCAAGTCAAATATTTATATTAATAGTGTGAAAAATCACGCCAATCTGTGAAAAAATGAGAAAACTACTTAAAAGATCTTTCGACAGGTTAAAATATGACAATTTTTTAAATTGATTTAGTAGATATGATGTTTCATCTACTTTTGTTCTAGTTTTACCCCTCTACAACTTTCATGCTCTTACTCTAGCATTAAAGTGATTCTAGCACTAGAGTCAAATGACTCTAGCACTAAAGTTACTAGAATTTTTTTTTTATAATTATTCTCCAAATTAGTGTTAGAAATTAAATATAAAAATTTCTTTAAATTAACTAATAATATTTTATTAACAAAATTAAGAAATAAAATATATATTTGTTTAAAACGGGATAGTAAACGTATATAAGAGTTATTCTAATTTTATAAATATAAAAATTGATTATTATTTTTAACTCTCAACACTAGAGTTGACTAGACTCTAGCGACTCGAGCACTTGAGTGGTTTTTCCTAAGTGCTAGAGTGAAGAGGGTAAAAGTGAAAAGAAATTGAATGAAAAGTCTTATTTACAAAGCCAATTAAAAAGAGGTCATATTTCAATTTGACTCCTATAAAAAAAAGATTTTTTAAATAATTATTTCATAAAATAAATCACGCAAAGTTATTTTTTTTTATAGGTTTTTCAATTTGGGTGATTCAAATGTTCTTATATCTTATATATTTATATCGAAGGATGGTTAACAATGGCACATGTGGTTATTTTGATTGGGTACGGAGGGCAATGGACAACAACGGATGATCACAAAATGAGTTATGTTGGAGGAAAATAGAAAATGCTTAAACTTCATCGTAATATGATGTATGATGGATTGATTGAGTTACGTATTGATAGTAGAAGGAATACTATTTGGATAGCTATGAAACCCAAGGATGCAATCAATGGAATGTTTTATGACATTGAGGATAATATGATATTGCTTGTTACCTTGCCTTTTGTCAGAACAACGTCAACTCTTTTGTTCCTTTCTTTGTCGAACATATTGTAAATGCGAGAAAATAGTCTCCAGTTGTTGGTTGGGGAGCACATAGATCTAAAAGTGATAGTAACCAATGTAGCGACTCAATAAATATGACCGATAAACCTTCTAATCCAGAATTATTGGGATAATACCGCTTTCCCTCAAGGACTAATTTTGAAGTTGAAGCCCCTCGAGATGGTGAAGAGGAGGGTAATGCTAATGTAGAGGTTGAGGATCTGCATGTTATGGATGTGCTTAGTTTAGACATATTGGAAAATATTGAGGATTGGGTTAATGGGTAGAAGCGAAAGGTACCGAATTAGAGTTGCTTCGAGCGTGACGATGAAATGAACAATATTCTTGTGGATGAACCAGAATGTGAAGAGACAATGTACTTTTACTCCGGTGCAAATGATATTAGATGCCCTCCTTTGTTGATACCAACTAAATTGCATGTGACACCAAAACCATTAACGAAGTTCCACTAGTCGATGACACGAAGACCAAGGCTAGGCATGATCCAATTCTAGATATGATGTTATATTGTTAACTATTTCATGTCTTTGTTATAGGTATGACGTTTATATATAGAACGTTTGAAGTTGGGAAATGTGAAAGGAAAGTGACATGTATATAATCAAAATAAGTTTACATAAATACAAGGATGATACAATAAACTAAATCCCTAAATTGCCATAAAATAACTCGATTGCCATCTTGGTTTTAATGAAACTACCATCACTACCAACAAAATTAAATGGTCGCCCTAGACAAAGGTACTTGATGCACTTCAACGTAAATACCCCATAGTTACCCAAACCCAAACCCTATTGTGGCATGTCGTCTCGCCTCAATAGAGTTAGGGGTCTTGCACAAAGAAGTTGTTCGGAATCAATCCAATAAGATGACTATGATAACATATCCAATATATATGTCACGTGTGAATGCATCTGCTTCTATAAGCTGATAGGGTCTTTTATGTGCCCCTTCATCGAGCCGTAGACTATAAGCGACCATTGGACCAAATCAACCTCACCGCAAACCTAACGTTCATAGTAGACCTCGGCATTTGGGACTGGTCCCAAAAAATCGACCCAAAAAACCGATCGTAGGACCAGTCTTAGAAGGGTTTGGTCTTAAACCCAGACCAAGCCCATGGAGGAGGGACTGGTCCCTAGATCGAGCCCTCCTCCAGGGCCCAGGCTTGGGACTGGTCCTAGCCTGGGCCCAAACCCTTTTGCTTTTTTCAAAAACGTCCCCAAGAAAATATCCAAAAACCCCTTGTAAATTTTGAAATTGATAAAAATATTAAGGACTAAATTAACATTTTATATAATTAAAAAAAAATAGAATTATAGCACATGACCGTTGGCTGCCAATAGTTAGATAACTATTGGCAGCCAACGGTCATTGGGGGTAGGCGGTTGTTACATTTTTCCCCCCAAACTTACACTATAAATAATCCCCCACACTTCCATTTTTTTTCACACCAACTCTCAATCTCTCAATCTCTCTACTCCAATCCAATTCTCTTTCATATTCTCTTCAATTCAATTTATATTTATATTTATTATTTATTATTTATTTATTTATATTAATCAATTTTTTATGTTTTCATAACATCTCTTATTCATATTATTATTCAATTTTTTTCATTTTAATTATTTATTATTTTATCATAAATTCATCATGGAAGGGCCAAATGAGTTCTACGTTCCATCTGCCGAGGAAATGGAAGGGTTCAATCCATTTTCACCCTTTCCAGAGGTAGCAATTGCAATTCAACGACAACAACCACATTCGGCCGGGACAGGGTGCAACCAAACACAAGCGAGCAGCGACTCCACGATCGAAGACCCCCGACCGTCAAAGAGGGTCGTGTTCGATGTATGGCAATACTTCACTAAATCAAAACGGGCTAAGACAAATGGGGAGGGGGAAGAATTGTGCGGGGTATGTAATTTCTATGGAACTATTATCGGTGCTAAGAAGGGGACTTCGACGATGCGACGACACTTGAAGAAGAAGCACCCCTAAATAATGCAGTTGTTCGGTTCATCTTCAACCAGACCGGTAAGCAAATTCAAACTCAACTTAATTTTAATCCACAATCCTCAACTCTGTCAACATGGTAATACAATGCACTCCAAGCACGAGGGGAAATAACAAAATACATAGTTGCTATGAACTCTCCCATTTCTTTATCTGAAAATTTTTATTTTATTCACATGATTAAAACTGCATTGTATCCAGCATATATCCCTGTTAGTAGAAATACAAGTAGAAGAGACATACAAAAATTTTATAACAAATAAATGTTTAACTTAAAAATGAATTTCAAAATTTTAGGAATATATCTATTGCACTTACTTTAGACATATGGGCTTGTAAATCAAAAACACCATGTAAGTGTACAAAAGATTATTAATGAACTAACCAATGCAATAGATTATTGAATAAAATTTTACCTTTTCAACTACACTACATGGCAAGAAATACTTGTCATGTTTCATCCCAACAAAAAAAGGTTGATACACATCTAACCATATGTACTCGTTCCCTATTGGTTCTTGGGAGCAGCCCAATGAAACTGTTGTCAACTGAAGTCTAGTCCTACAGGACAGTGCTCCAGAACATGTGCTAGCGACGTTGTACTAATCCTGGATAGGATTCTATATGTTGTGACAATACAACTCACATCAATGATTATATAAACAACAAATTTTTATTAAGAACAAACCAAAACACTTGTTGATTACTTACATCATCTATCAACCATTGGCCGAGGGTTAAAAGCGTAGATCGGAACGTGCTTTTCGTCACGGCCCCCACAACATAAAACATCTCTCATGTCTTCATCTGCAATCGAATTATACCACGTGAACAAAGTTGCCTGAATGTCTGGATCCCAAGAACAGGTCATGTTTATATTGAACGACATTGGTAAAGTCTTTTCAGGTTTGAGCTTTGCCTTTATGGGGTTACTGAAAGGATTTCTAGTTAATAGACCTTTCCGAATTATACAACCACGTAATATCCATGGAAAGGCTAGGATTATAGTGACTTTATCAGCTGCAATGGTCGTTTCAGCTACTATAACCTAAAACGACATTAAACATTAGTCTTGATTATACCTAAAATTGATGCATACCCAGACAACATTTGGATATGTACTTGAATGGTTGATGGTGTATATTCTGGATCTTGGTGGGTGGTTATGTCTACTTGTGATCCTCGATGTATGGTGTAGACGAGTTGTGTTATAGTATGTTGATCTCACCATCCTAACACAAAAAAGGTATCGTCATGCTCAGATAGTAGTTAGATAACTTTTGGATAGAATAAAAATGTAATTGAAACTGATATAATCATCATCATGCTCCTTTTGAAGTACTGTGATGACATCTTCTATATCATTCACTCTGCCATCAAGCTGACTCAATATGGAATCGAAATGAGCCTGTACGTTTAAAATCAAGTTGCAGAATAGTTGCTCTTGGGTTTTCGACCATTTGTTGTACACAAGTTAGAAAGTCGTTTGCAACTTCTGAATTGGCCACTCCAGATACAGGGCAGTTAGATTCTGGTTCATTTGATGTAACCTCCTGCTTCAACTCTACCTCATTAAACACTACAAACAGTGGTTCTTCGAGTACAAGAATAGGCACCTTGAGGAAGCCAAAGAGATTTGTATACCAATCTTCCTTCCTCTCAGAGACAGTCTGAACCATATGCATTAACATCATGATGTTAATAGTTTTTAGTGATTTATTAAAATATTAACGAAAAGTTTAACATTTACAACCAAAGTCATTATGTTGCTTACAACCATTTCGTTCAAAATGTTGTTTAACTCCTCCGAAGTCGAAATGTTTTTTGTTTTCCAATTAACCATCTGGCATATCTTTGATCTGTCCTTCTGCTCTACCAAACTCCTTAGATTATCCAAAGCATCATATATCCATAGCTACAAAAACCAAAGATGACATTAGTGAATCTACATAATAAGAAAACTAAATACATGTTGTAATGACGATAAAAACACAAATTTACCAAGAATGACAATGGAAAACCATAAGATTATATGATTTATTGGAGGCACCTTTCACTTCTTCATCTTAGTTGCCACTAGAGGTGGGAATTTGGGAACGGACCCCAAAAACCCACCCAAAAGCCTAGGTTTAGGACTAGTCCTTGTAAGGACCAATCCTATGAGGTCCGCTCCTAAAACTGAACCAGAATCATGGAAGAGGGCTTGGGCCCTGGTTCAGGCCCTCCTCTAAGGTCTAGGCCTCCCAAGCCCGGGCTCAAACCTTATTCGGGTTTTTTAAATTGACTCCTGGCAAATTAAAATACACAATAAATATGGGGGCTAAAATGTTATTTTACAAAAAAATTAAATGCACCACACGGACACATGTTGAAGAGGGGGGGGGGGGGGGGCCGTCGTCTTGCGATGAGTAAAACCATATACAAATGGCTAATAAATAACAATAGAGAAATTGTCTATATTAAATATAAAAAGTTAAATATGCATATATATGTATGCTATATTATTGATAGATAATAACATATTTTTTAATTCAAATAACTTGTAAATGTTAATAACATAAATACATAATATATATGTATTAAGTCATTTAAATCAATTAATAACAAATTATTGTAATTTCATTACGAATAAAATTGTAGTTATTTATTTAGAATTTATCTTAAATTCTATTTAATAATTTGATAAGAGATATAAAAAAAAAAAATGTTAAATAGATATAATTTATCATTTATCAAATATAAATAATGTATCGAATATTCGATAAGAGACATATTTTTTATAATACATAATCAGAATTGAGCTATTTGATAATTTGATAAGAGACTTAAAAAAAATCGGAAAAGTTTATTTGATAATATCATATAAAGTCTCTTAACGTACGATATTATATAAAATTGTAAATCATATGATATTGTCAAATTATTATTGATAATTTCGAAAATCTCTAAGTCTTTTTTAGGAAAACACTTGTATTTTATTTAATTGTTGGTCCAAGTTTCAATATATAGCAATTACTATTTGCAAATGGCATAGTATGGTTAGGTTGAGCTTAGAGCATCTCCAAATGACTTTTTATATAACCTAAACTCTTTATTATAAATAGTTTGTCCATAAAATCAAGAGTCAAATAGTCTCTTTATTCTTTAAATATAAATTAAAAAGTGAGTTTGACTCTCTACATCTAGAGAGTCAAATTTTATTCTCTATTCCAATTTTATTTAATAAATTACAAGTTTCTATGCATTTTATTATTAATTATCTCTCATATTTATTAAGTCTAATTTAAAGAGTCCATTGGATTTGAATACAAATTTTATTCCTTATATTTATAAATTAATGAAGATACTCTTAATTTATATAAAATATGCTCTTTAAAATAAATAGTACTATTAGAGATGCTCTTAGTTGCTAAATTAAAAAAATACAGATCTAAATGTCAAAAACTAATTTATCTAGAGTTTGTGAAACAGGGTCTAATACTTGACTAAGGCCCAATTGAGAAAGTATAAGACCCTATTTGGATAGAAGTGAGCTTTCTGATAGGCCCACAATTCAAGCATGCATGGGCTTAAGATAATGAATTCGGGGTGGGCCAAGTTGGGTCGGGGTGGGCCTGGGGCACATCCTCGCAAGCCACGTTTAGGGGGACGGGTCAGATTCCAGGAATCCCCTTAGGCCTCAAGGCCAAGTCGAGCCTAGAGATAGGGGTTCTTGGCCGATCGTGTACCCGAGTCTCAATTCTGATTCTGGTTTCGGTTCCTATAGTGGTGGAACCAAAATCGGAACCGCACAGCACCGGTTCCAATTTTTAAAACTAGAACCGACCCTGTGAGGGTTGGTTTTGGATAAGAATCGAAAATAGAACCTCCGAGTACCCAACGATTTCAGTTCTACCCTATTTTTTTGCCCACCCCTATCTAGCTAGCCTATCTCCATAAGAATTTAAGGGAATTGATAGTCCTTAAAGTTTTGGTGGCCTACGACAGATTTTTTTTTTGCTAACTTTGATAAACAGTAGAGTAAGACTAACGAGTGGAGGGTATATATGACTTTTTCTTAATAAAACCAAAAATCGAAATAATAAAAAAGTAATTTAATTACATGAGCATATTCTAATCCTATTTCTATCCTCATACCAGTATATTGCTAGCTTTAAAACATTAATACCCCTGAGGTTTATTATAAAAGTTAGACCCAAAAATTTTAATAAGACAAGGGGCGGACTATTAAAACACCATCTCAAGTTTTAAATAAATTAAAATAGGGGTGGACAAAAATATCCACAAACCGAACCGAATATGGTAATCAAACCGAACCGATTTTTTCGGGTACCCAAAAAACCGGGTCGAATTTGAGTATTTAAGTAGGTACTCGGTTTTTTTGTTCAAGTATCAAGTTATATTTAAAATATAAACCGGATACCCGAAACCCGGTTATATTTAAAATATTCGGGTCGGGTACCGGGTTTTGTCCTCTCCTAAATTAAATAGCATGAACTTTATTGTTCAAGTAATTTAACACATATCGCTTAAGAAATAAATTTATAGATAAACCTACATCGGTTAAGCTTATATCATTTAAACGAATGATCATTTAGTAAAGAGTTTTAAACTTCATGGTTATTTAATTCATTCCAAACTAAAAATGGTATTTTAATTAATTTTCCCCAGCTTTCTTATACTCTCACCATCGTGGGTTTTCAATTTCTTGATTGTATTGTGATGAATTTGTGTTGGTTATGGAAAGAGAGTGAAGTTTTGATTAAATATATTGTTTATGGAAATTATAATGTTGTTTGGAACGTGTTTGCATTGCATGTAAAAGTTCTCGGTGGTATTCTGTTTTTGGGTTTATTCTTTTAGCACAGAAATATTTTTTTTAATAGATTTGGGATTGTGTATGTTTATTTTGCATTCTGGGGTAGAGTTGGGGATTAGGGTCCAAGCCCAATGGGATTGCCCAAAAAAGGGACCCAGTATTGGTCTTTGGGATGATCGGACCTATAGGGCCCAGGCCCAAACCTTGACCTTGGCCCAATAGGAGGGACCAGTCCTTGGGTTGGTCCCTCCTCCAAACCCTCCCCCCTAATTTTTTACACGCTAACATAAAAAACCCTCCTGTTTTATAAAATTGACAATAAATATAGGGGTTAAACTGATATTTTACAAAAAAATATAAAATTCGATGGCTTCTGTTAAGATCAGTAGCGGATCCAGAAATTTCTTTCATGGTGGGCCAAAATAAAAATTTATTATACATTACTATTTTTATCTATTTATATTTTTGTTAGGGTGGGCCAAAATATATAAATTATACATATTAAAATTAAAAAAAAAAAATTGAGGGTGGGCCATGGCCCATCCAAAATGTGGCTGGATCCGCCATTGGTTAAGATAACCGCATTTCACAACTCATAGCTCTCAATCTCTCATTCTCTCTAGTCCAATTCTCAAACTCTCTTCAATTTATATTTGTATTTATTAATTTATTATTCATTTTCTTCCATTTTTCAATTTCATCTATTATTTATATTATTCAATTTCTCCCATTTTAGTTATTTATTATTTTATCATAAATTCATAATGAATTCCCAAAATTATGTATTTAAAGGATCATCCCCAAATGAGTTTTATGTTCCATCTACCAAAGAATGGAAGGGTTCAATCCATTTTCACCTTTTCCAAAGGTAGAAATTTCACAACCAGAAACGCCTAGGACTGCGTGTAGTCCAACACAAGCAAGCTGCGACACCACGGGCACGACAATACTGTCAAAGAGAACCGTGTCCGGGGTATGAAAATACTTCACCAAATCAAAATAGGCAAAGCCAAATGGGGAGGGGGAAGAAATGTGCGGGGTATGTAATTTTTGTTCAACTGTTATCAATGCTGAGTACGGGACTTTAACGATGCGGTGACACTTGGAGAAGAATCACCCTCAATTTATGCAACTTAGATCGTCCGGTTCAACTTCAACCGCACCAGGTAAGCAAATTTAAACTCAACTTAATTTTAATCCACAATCCTCAACTCTCTCAGCGGGGCAATACAATGCACTCAAAGCACGAGAGATAGTATAAAGATACATAGTTGCTACGGACTCTCCTCTTTTTTTATCTGAAAATCCTTTTTTTGTTGAATTGATTAAAGATGTTTTTTGTCCAGCATATAGCCATGTTAGTAGAGGTACAAGTAGAAGGGATATACTAAAACTTTATAATAAAATAAGAGATCAACTTAAAATAGAATTTGAAAATTTTAGGAATATATCTATTGCACTTACTTCAGACATATGAGCTGTTAAATCAAAAACAGATTTTTTAAGTGCCATAATACATTACCTAGATCATAACTGGCGTTTACAATAAAAATTGATAAGTTTTAAACCATTATTTGCTAAACATAGTGCTGAGACAATTTATTTTACAATTATTGAAGTTTTGCGCTAACGCTTGATAATGCAGTTGCCAACACTACAACAATTTCTTTATTTGAAAAGAAATTGGATCCGCATGGTGACGACAAATTTTTTCACCAGAGATGTGATTGCCACATCATCAATTTAATTGTTAAAGTAGGTTTAGAAGCTATACATTCGAGGATTGAAAGAGTGCGCATGGCTATCAGATTCATCGCCGATAGCAATACAAGATGGATTAAGTATGTAAAATATTGTCGCCAAGAGGAGTTGCTAATTCGACCAAACAAGTTATATACGGACATGCCTGTCCGTTGGAACTTTGCGTACTTGATGTTGTAAAGAGTTATACCAACCGCAAGACAAACTACAAATTTCGTCAACCAGAAGAACTATCTGGACGAAGTCGTCAATGATTCGGATTGGACGGTTTGTAATGTTTTTCATTCATTTCTTAAAGTTTTTTATGATTTCACTAATACATTAAGTGGTGTTTATTATCCTACTATTAATGTAGCGTTAGATATTTTATTTCAGATTTCTAAAACTTTTGCTAAACATAAATATGATGAAGATTTAAGCGACATTGTTTTAAAAATGGAAAAAAAAATACCGAAAATATTGGTTAGGTATTCCATCTTTATATGGATTAAGTCTTATTGTAGATCCTAGGTTTAAATTACATGTATTTAAATGTATGGTTACTGAGATATGCCAGCATTTAGATTATGGCTATAGTTCTTATTTGATAAACTTTAACAGAAAATTGGAAAGCCTTTTTTCTTTGTATGAGACTAGATACAATGGAATGCCCAGCACCAGCAGAGATGATTAGGTCCATGATGAAGACATTTATCAACAAGGATCGAGCATGTAGACGTATATGGAACATGACGAAAGTAGCAACTCCAACTCGTACATACATAGATCAAATGAGCTGCATCGGTACCTACAAATAGACATGTCCTACATGACGAAGAAGGAAAAATGTGAGATAGATTTGCTTCAATGGTGGAGCCAAAATGCAAGTCGATTCCCTATTTTAGCCTAAATGACATGTGACATTTTATTTGTGACAGTTTCGACAATTGCATCCGAGTCAACATTCTCAATTAGTGGTCATATTGTTGAAGATAGAAGATACTCTTTAACCAATGAGATGGTTGAAGTCATAAAATGTATACGGGATTAGACTCATGTAGACAAAAGACTACAACAACACCCAAAAGATCCCCAAGTACTCGACCTCTTCAGAAACACGGATTTGAACGATGTAAATTAATTTAACAAAAACAAATTTATTTAATTGTTTATTTGTGAAGTGTGATTGTGTGAACATTATATTTATGTTAAAATTAGATTATCTCTTTAAAGTTTAAATTAAAAACACCCTAAATTTATAATTGATTAACCATTTATTTATATTTATTTACTAATTAATTAAAAAGTTTTAAATCACCCCTTTAAAAATTAAATAAACCCCTACGTAATTTTCGATAGCCCCAAATATATATCAAATGTAGTTGAATGAGATAGCAGGCGGGTTACATGTTTCACTGCAGGTGGTGATGGTCACCCCGTGGTATGCACTAGTAGGGGTATTCAAAAGAACCGATTGGAACTGGAACCGGCGGGTACCCGGGGTTTGGTTTTGGTTCCTACTGGGAACCGGTCGTTAACAGGTAGGTTCCGGTTCCAAATTTTTGGAACCGTTACTGTGCGTTTTCGGTTCCAGTTCTTATAGTTAGGAATCGGAATCCGAACCGGGAACCGAGACTAATATAAAATAAAATTAAACAGTAGGGGGTTAATAAAAACTTTTGTAGAAAAAGTAATGTGAATACATTTATATTTATATTTCATAACATTTAAAGTAAGTTAATTTGACTTTTTGAGAATCTATCTTTACAAAGTAATGGAGTTTGTAATTTTGAATTTATAATTTGTAACTTTATTTTTGTTAACAAAATCCAGGTGGGGGGGTATTTGTAAGTTTTTAAGGGTTTTTTTGCTATTTTAAAAACTTTGGGGGGGTCATGAATTTTATAGGGTACCCAGAACCTGAATTGGATCCGTTGTTACAGGTTCCGGTTCCAGTTCCAAATTTCAAGAAACCGTTGGTTCTGATTCCGATTCCAGTTCCTTCAAAAAATGCAGGGTACCCGGAACCGAACACCCCTATGCACTAGTGCCCTTGATAGCCACTGGACTCGCCAACTCTCATGAAAACCAGGGTCAATCAGTCCTCCTTTCATCTGACCGGAGGTGTGGATAACTGGGACCAGTCCTTCAAAGCCCAGTGCTGGGCTCGGCTGGGACTGGGGCTTGCCCAAGTCCATTCTGGGGTAATTTGTGGACTGTAACGGCGGTTTTTAAATTTTTGTTATATTCTTGGGGCATTTCAGTCTTTCTACGTAATATCCCAGGTTAGAGAACGGATTTCATTGACGTCTGTTAGTTACATGGATGGATTTGAAAGTTAAAAAAAGATTTGTCCGACGGCCAATTTTTTTTTCCCGAATTCAGGGCTCTTAATACAGCGTTAAAAACACGCAAATATTTACCTCAACATTCCCTTGTTAACGGTCTAAATTCCTCATCCCTCCAAGTTTTTGATTTAGGGTTTTATTTCTTTTAACGCACCTGCAATCTTCAATGGCATATAATTTGTTTTATTTTTTTTAATTCAATCTCATTTATTCGGTGTTGTTTCCGAACCCTCACAATGTAAATCTCTAAACTCTTTAGTTCTTTTCTTTCATTCCCTTTTTTTTTTCTTTTTGTTTTTTCTAAGAAGAAATTTATTTCTCCATATTTGTTAATTTGAATGGTTTTGATATGAAGGGGAGTTATTAAATTGGAGCTTCCCTGTCCAAAAAGCGTTGATGGAATCACAGTCGATCCGGAGCCCGATTGGAGCTTTGAAGTGCTTTTGTCTGAGATTAATTCACTAGAAATAAAGCTCAATGTCTCTTCAACTGCTGTGCCTTTCACCAAAAAAAAATCAAGGTAATGCACTTTTTATATCTCTTCTTTAGATCCTTTGCGTGGGTTTCCACGGATGCAGTATAATGCATATCAATGAAAATATTTTGATGAGGAGCAGAATTGAATAATAGTATGTGATAATTATTTGTAAAAATTGAGTTATAAAATTTATGGATGTATTATAGTATTTTTGTTTAGCACTTTTTATAATTGTCTTGCACTGATTTTCATATTCGTGTGTTGTTTAAGGGTCGTGGGTATGCCTTTCTTTTTATACACAGTTAAAAATCATATAAAAACATGATTACGATTATTTATTCTTTGTATAGCTATGTTTAAGATACTATTACTACTCTTAAAGTCAATAGATATAATGTGTGTATTCTTACTCTTTTTCCTTTTTCTTTTCCCCTCTAATTAGAATCACCACTTTAAAGTAATAACCGATAATCACCATTTTAAAGTTGTTTTAAACTTCCAAAAATGTTAGAAAGAAAGTTTTAAGGCAAGTAAGGAAGTTAAGGAAAGGGAGTTCCTAGCCAGACTGAGAGATGGCAGAAAGCGGGCCAGTACATACTAGTGTATCTGGAAAAAAAAAAAAAAAAAAAAAAAAAAGAGAGAGAGAGAGTAAAGAGTTTTTGGTTAAGTAATTAAATTAAGAATGTGTTCAGCATATATCGTGATATATGGGACTAAGCAAATATATATAGAACCTACAGAAAGAAGTAATATAAGCAAATTTTTTTTTTTTTTTTTTTTTTTAATCTTGGCTCTGGAGGATCAATTGCCTGTCTATGATGTGGGTGGTTGAAGCAACAATGTAATTGAAATTATGAGTTTTAATTACTGTGTGGTTTTGTGTTTGTTTTTGTTTTAGAGGAATTCCAAATGGGAAAAGTGTTGAAAGAAAAGCCGGAGCTTTTGTTATGCGTTTATCGGATGATGAGATTGATTTCGATTTTGAAACTCAGGGTGAGGAGGTTCATAATCAAGGTCCAGTGGCAGTCAAACGATTTAGCTGTGATGAGCTTTATCTGAGGTATGCTTTCTTTTTTCATGGTTTTAAATTTGGATATCATTGCTGCTTGTGCACTTCTGGTGTATTGAAATTTTTTGTCCAATAGCCTTACTGTTGTTGGTTGATATTTTTGCTCTTAATATTACAAACATGATGAGAGTGTGATTTTGCTTTTGCCTTCAGTGAGAGCGATGATTCTGATGATGACAAAGAACTTGAAACGGCGCCATACTTGATGGATGAAGTGGGGTTAGCAGAAGGTGCTTTGGTTGAGCTAACCCATGAGCACCAGCTTGGAGTTAAGGTGTGTAGGATTATCTTATGGTTATTTAAGGGGTGAGCTTTGCAATTAAAGGATAATCCTTGAATTTTATTTTTTTTATTTTTTTTGGTGAGGGGAATAGTTATATCTGCGGATTTAACCTTTTGAGTTGTCAGGGGTAGTAGAATATTCTATTCTTTATTTGTGTCTTAGTGATCGGCTTCTTGAGCAGGAGGAGATTAGGAACCTGATTTCGACATTAGAGACAGAGCTAATGAGTGAAAATGAACAGTCTTCCTCTGCACTTGCTCAAGTTGAGAAATATAGAGACATGAGAAGGGAAATGGATAAGAAACTTGATACTCAATATCAGCGCAAAATGTAAGATCTAATTTTCTGTTTATTATCTAGAATTCTTCATTCCAGAACAGGGTTGAAATTACTGTTATCAATGTTCCAAGTGTCATGTTTCTGGCTGAATCATTCATTTCCGTATAATTTTAGCTTCATAGGTGGTAACATAATTTTACTTGTACATTTTACCAGTGCACCGTTCTCTATGACACCAGTGCCCTGTTCTCTATGACCTTCAACTATACAGCTTAGCAAAACCCGGGAAACATCTTTGCATCTGCCTGAATTTCATATGAGATATTTATTTATTTTTAAGTTAATTTTGGTTCTTCTAAGAAAGAGTTGTTGATGACAAAATAATTGAACTACAGTTAATCAATAATCCAGAGTTGGAGTTCTTTGAGATGTTTTAGATCATTATCTAGTGATTTAGAACTGCTGCATGTAAGAAGCTAAAACTTTTAGGTTATACAAGATAAAGGTAATGGGTTGAAGAAGACAAAAAAGTGTCTGCTAAACTTAGCTGCAGTTTTTTGCACCAATGTTTCAGGCTTAAATGCATGTTTAAGGTTTTTGTTTGAAACACATGCATCCATGCTCCCGCTTCCAAAATTGGTTATGAATACATAGTAAACTTTTTTCCGGAACTGTTGCTGTATAATGCGTTGTAATATTGATAAAGTATGATACATGGTATGCCTTTAATACCTTGTATTATTACTTTCTGGGTAGTTTCTTTACTAGTTAAAATCACTTGAAATTGTGGATATAGTTTTTGACATTTTTTCAAAAATCACTAGTGCAGAAGCACTTGATAATCATTTGACTGCTATCCAGCGAGATCATGAACTTAAATCACAAATTGAAGAAAGGAAAATAAGAAGTGATGCAGCTTACGAAGAGGCCAAGCGGAAGGAAAGGGCTCTTCAAGAAGAAAAACAACGTCAAGAAAAAATGAAAACAGAAGCAGAGGTTGTTAATCTGACTTATCAAGATATTTATAATTTATTTAATAAATTATAGATTTAGAATTTGTCTGCTTGCAGCAGTAGATGTTATTCTTTTTTTCTTTTTTGGTGGTTAAAGATAATATATTATCAGTTCTCGGCTTATGAGGTAGCTCAATTTCGTATCAATTGGGAGGGAGTTCTGGGATTGTTTTCTATAGCTTATGGGCTCTTTTGTCTGGGGGAGGTTTGGGTTGCTGCAGTTTATGTACAATGGTTTTCCCATCCTTGGTCTTTTTGTTATTTATGGACACCTTATCCATAAATGTATTTTCTCATATTTGTATTATTACAGCAGTTATTATGGATCTTGTTATGAAGTTGATCCAGTGTATGCGTCATTAGTGCAGATACTATGTAAGAGCTAGGAAACAAAATACATAATAAAGATTATATTTTGGATGCAGGCTAAAATTAGAGTTGAGGAGGCAAAAAAAGCTGCTTTAGAAGCTGAGAGGAGAGCAGTAAAAGAAGCTACAGAGAGAGAAGCTACTGAAGCCTCTCAAAGAATTACCCCTGCAGCATCTCAAGGTGAAGCCACAGGGCGCCAGATGGATGGTGGTTCAGTAATTTTGAATTCTCAATCCAAGGGATCCGGATCTGATAGAAAAAAGAATTCACAATCAGCAGGTACTTTGTCTTTCAATAGTGTTCTTGTAATTGTTGTCTTTCTCCCTTTATGTTTGTTTGTGCATGCGAAAGCTGTCTTTAATACTTTTGCCAAGGGGGATGTTACTTTACATTTGTCATCTTAGGTTTTGTCTCATCTGATGGCAGGTAAAATACTCAGAGCTGCAGAAAGTGCACTAAAGATGGAGCAGAACAGACTACAGAAGCTTAAAGAGTGTGATGAAAAGAATCAGGCATTGACATCAAGCTCCAATAAGGTATTTTAACCTAAACCATGTCAAGTTCTGAAAACTCTGAACTGTATTGCCTTTATAAATCAAATTGAATACATCTGTTTTTGCTGATGTTTACGCAACTTTCAAAAAATTGAATAACAGAATATTTGATTTGTAATAAATGCCATTTTTAAACTCTAGTTGCGGAGCTAATTGTTAGAACCTACATTGCCCTTGGGTTTTTTTTGGGCCTTTTCATGAATCTGCATTGCATTCTGTTTATCAGTTATTTATATGGTTTAATTTATGTTAGGATTTCAGCAGCCATGAAAGGCATATTTCCAGGCTGATAAGACAAATAAGGGGTACAAAAGATAATGTCAGGTAAGTTGAATGACTTCATTTGTGTTACAGATTATCCTGTAGAAGTTGTTAAAATAATTTTTATGTGTATTTCATTGCCTGCCTTTCCAATCCATGTTCTTGAAATTTTGTTTGACATACTACTGCAAGACTATATCAGTTTGTGCATTATCCCTTTTTTTTTTGTTTTTTTTTTTTTCAGTATTAGCAATTCTGGCCTGTATTTGTCAATTGGGCTTGCCTTGAAATAGTCGCATTGTTTGTCTTTGGGTTCATTGAGAATTTATTAATCTTAGGAACGTAGATACATGAAGTTCATACAGAACAATGTATTGAAGCACTAGCATGTCTTCCCACTTGTAGAGCTTGGATTAATTAACAAGTTCATTACATTGTGAAACATAAACACATGGACAAATGCAAACTCAAACTCAAACATAACTTGTCAGTATATAATTAGTAGAATAAAGAAATTTGAAGCAATACCTTTTGATTTAATACTATGTTGAGAAAGCATTAATCCTGCAAGTTTAAGCCTATGGATTTAGTGGTTACTTAATAGCTAGAATATTTTTCAAGACTGTGTTATGAGGATTGGCTTAGACTGGTTGGTTAGACTGATAATCTAGATTGAACTTATCAAACCAGTTGATTTATGGAATTCCATTTATGATGGTTGTACCTGGCTTTGATCTTTGTAAGAGACTGGATGAGTTCTTCTGCATTGATTTGTTTTTGTACCATGTTGAGGTCCATAGCATTAACAAGCTCTATCAATCATCATCTTACTCTTAAATAAACCATGTTTTTGACATTTCTTGTTGTTTCTTAGACATGAGGTATGTAGTAAGCCTCGGTTTTTATTTTCGTTAAAATTGTTTTGTTTCTTGCAGAACCAAAGCAAGTGAAATTATTAAGATTTTCAACAATCCTCTTTGTCCTCAATCTGTCAGCATTGCAGCTTTTGCAAAGAAGGTAACCACAGATTTTGTATCAGAATCCTGCATCATTTTTTTCATTGATTCATTTTCTTATTTGATCATTGAGAGAATTTAGAGAGCAGAAGAAGACTGTTATGGAAACATGTAAAAGATGATTGCAGATTCATTTGAGTGGAAAATTTAGTCATTTGTAAACTATTTGCAAACTAGGATTGAAGAACAGAATCTAGTATATAAGAATTCCACATTTTAGCATATCTGTCAAACCTACACATCCAAATAAGTGGAAGCTTATATAACGACAAGTTTAGGTTTATTAAAAGTGAAAGAAAATATGACTTAATACCTTTACTAATGAAAGAAAATTGGGTGTATTCACACACAATATTATATTCCCCTCCTCCAAGTTCATCGTAGGATTTTTTTCCTTAAACATTGATTGGAAGCCAATTGGAGCCTGTCACTGAGGCCTTTAGAGCACCAACTTTCCATTATTCTATTTAACCACAAGTGCACTCCTATTTCAACTATTAGTCATATTATTAGTTTCTAGCAATTTTCTATCTATTACTTGTGTATGTTAAGAAAGCTTAAAGGTAGTCTGACATTATCCCTGGTTTAATATTACAGGTCGTCTCCCATTGTGAAAGCCCTGATAATGCTGCTTTTGCTTGTGGCTATGTCATTGTTCTGGTTACTTCACAGGTATATTATGTTTGGTTTACTTATTTCTTAACATAAAATGTTTAAATTATTTTTGTTTCTGTCTCTCTAAATACAATATGGTATGTGATGTATTATTGTAGATTATACTTTTTCCTTTATTAGTGGGTTAGAAGAGGTTCTGAAAAGCTCATTACAACTACATCAAGCAAATTTGTATTATTATAAATTCAGCTCACCTTGAAACAGGTTGTGTCAATAGAGTTTATTTAAGTGACCATTGGATAAAAGGCATTGTTTTAAAACTCGACCCGTTGTGAGATTTGGTAAGGTGACCGGGTCACGGGTCGACCAGTCCAACAAGTTGGACCGATGATGTCAGCAACAAATTTAATTTTAAAAAAGTTGTTTAATCCTTTAAATCTTACTATATTACAAAAATACCCTTAAAAAATTTCAAATTAGTATTTAGAATTTTTATTTATTTAAAAAATGTTCAAAAAAATTACCAATTAATCCCTAAAATTTTGACATATTTAAAAACACCCCTATAAATTTCAATGAGACCTTATAAATTTGAAATATAGCAAAAACCCCCCTAAAACCTGAACCGGACTGGAGAGGCTGCCGGGTCCCGGTCCGACTGGTCCGACCGGCCGGTCCAGTTTGGGCTTTAAAAGAGTGATAAAAGGTCAAGATTCTAGGCCGGTCAAATCAGATTATATCACAAGTATTTCAGTGTTGTAGATGATTATGTATTATAAGGAGATATTTCTAAGTCTTAAGATTATGATAATTATCTGAGTTTGTTAATCAGGTACCACAAGTGATGGATCTTCTTCTTGGTGAGTTCCATAGAGCTTGCATCTACACTGTTCCAAAACATATAGTGTACTCAGAGGTAACTCAGCCTTCTATCTAAACAAGCCTATATTAATATTTGGAAATTTCATGTCGTATTGATTGTGTTTTAGTCATGTTTTGATTTGCTCCCCTATTTTATTGTCATCTGGAAGAAAATGGACCCGGACTCGTTACCCATAGTTGATCCATGGTAACAATATGGTGTGCCAAAGGCTTAAGATTGGCATCTTGCCCTCTGAGGGCGTGGGGGTGAAGAAGTCCTTTATCTTGACATTTTTTATTTTCAACTTAGGTCTTGCCTCAATTTAATAATGATTTGTAGTTCATAGTTCTACGATTGCCTCAGTTTAATAATGATTTGTAGTACATAGTTCTACGATTGCCTCAGTTTAATAATGATTTGTAGTTCATAGTTCTACGATTGCCTCAATTTAATAATGATTTGTAGTTCATAGTTCTACGATTTTCATATTAAATTGATATCTTCTAAACATCTCATTCTAATTAAGAGATTCTGCCATAGATTGATTTTATGTATAATTGGTCTCTCAAACCTTCTTATGTGCCAATTTTTATTTTAACCTCAACATGAAATTGAGTGGCAGCAAGTATTTACCAGACAGTATTTTGGAGAGAGTGCATCTTAACCTGCTCCTGTTTAATGTTTTTTATTTGAATTTCTCCTGAAGTTGCAATTACATCACCTTATTACTATTTATTCAAATTAAGTTATTACTGGTTCAGTCTGCATTTGAATCTAAAGATGCTTATTACAAAATTCTTGGATACCGAGAAGAAGATGGAAAAATTGAGAGTCTTGAGGATTATTTGAGACGATTGGAATCCTACATGAGATTGTATGCTGCACTCATTCAGGTTTGTCACTCCTGGTACTTTGCTTCATGCTGTACTATTTACATACAGTCATGGACATTTGAATCTAGTTGCGTTTTTGCCATAGTGATACCTACTCCTAGAATTTCAAGTAATTAAAACAGCAGCAGCTGATGAAGAATGCTTTGTTTTGGCAGACAGAAGTGCAGGGTGTACAAAACACACATGGCTTGGAAGAAGGTTGGACATGGCTTGCAAGGTTCTTAAATACTGTGCCTGCCAATATATACACTGCTGTTGCATTGAATGCATTCCTGCAAGTAAGTTACAAATACATGCTGGTCAATAATATCTTATTGTTTTGGCAATGTGACCAACACATCAATCACCATTGGGTGTGTATCTTTCTTAACTATATGCTATTCAAGATGTACTTTAAAAAATGGGCTGGTAATGCCTGGGTATTCTTATAGTGGTATTGAAAATCCAGGGCGTATAAATGAATTTTATTTTCCACAGATGGCAGGTTTTGCTCTCTTTCGCAAATATAAATCTCAGTTTAGGAAGATGATCAACATAATCTCTGACAACTTTCTGAATGCATTGAGAGCACGAGAAGACTCAAAGCTGAAGCCAGTGATTGCGGGGATTCAATCTTATATAGAAGATAAAAAATTCCTTGAGGAACCTGAAGGGAGGACTTTGCAGGCTTCATTACTATCAAGTACAATGGTTCCAGATTCAGAATACCAAGAGTCTTATAGCGGATACCACCCAGAATACCAGGAGTCATACGGTAGATACCAGCCAGAATATCAGAAGTCGTATAGTAGATACCAGTATTATTGACATAACTTTATTGTGATGTATATCTTTAGTCTCGATTGGAGAGAATATCCCAGAAAACTTTTGCATATATATAATAAATTTTATGACAATAATAGAGGAAGGCACAGGAGTCCAGCCGCGGCACATGATATGGATCATCTTTCAACCGCGTTGCACTTTGAGCTTTCCGTTTGCTGTTTAGGGTGAAGCTTCTTAAACTTGATCTGGCAACCATTTCCTTCTGTTTCGTAGGGCTGTTTGTATTGTACTAAAAATGTAAAATTTCCCTGATTTGTTATGGTTGTATCCAGTACTGAAATGGGTGTTTGATGTTTTCATTTCATCTACTACTTTCCTTAATAAAATAGCATCAGGGGCAATGTTAACTTTTCACAACCAACCCGGCAAATGACTGGGTCAGGTGATCGAGTGCTGGGTTGACCGGTCTAACCGGCCGATTGGACTGATGATGTTAGAAAACATGTTTACTTTATTTAATCAACTATAAAATAGTTTTTGAGATTGAGTGAGCGGAAACCCAACATCAACCCATCTCAATTCACACTTCTCAACTCTCATTTCATTGAGTGTGTCTGTAAACTCGACCCACTGATTTATCATTTGGCAACCCCTTTTTGTCTGCTAAATTGCAATGGTATTGGCGAAGCAAGGTTCTGAAACCTGACCTGGGATGTCACTCAGCCAAGGGTTGGGTCCCGATTTGCCCGGTCCGATGGTTAAACTGATGAAAGTTTGAAATCTTACAAACACATCCCTAAAAATTTCCTGTAGGTTTGAAATCTATCAAATACACCTTTGTGATTTGACCCTAAATTGATTTTTTCGGCCAAATTTTGGTTGATTCTGGTGGCCAAAATTCAATCTGACACTACCACCTAAACCATCATCCTCTACTCTACAAAACCTCTAAATTCAAAACTTGGTAGCCCCTTATTCGCCGTTCGTGACTTGCGAACAACGTTGCGATTGGGTTGATTTTTTCACCCAAATTTCGATATATTCTAGCATCCAAAATTCAATTTGACAACACCACCTGAACTACTGGCCTCCACTCTACAAGACCCATCTAACCCCAGTACTTGGTAGCCTCCCATTCGTCAGTAGTGACTCGCGTATTGGGTTGATTTTTTCGGCCAAATTTTGGCTAATTTTGACGTCCAAAATTCAATTTGACACTATTCCTCGAACCACCAGCCTCAAGCCTCAACTTTACAAAAGCCCTCTAACCTCGGCACTTGAAAGCTCCTCGTTTGCCCGCGATCAGATTATGGATTTGGTGAATAGTTAAAAATAATAACTAGGACCGGAGAGGGCACCGGTCAACGGCCTGATCCGGTTTTCAAAACCTTGTGGTGAAGAACATCAACATCTCTCTCTTCATTTAAATATTTTATCTTTTTGTTTTACCATTTCTCATTGTAAAAGAAAAACAAATCAAAAACCCCTCTTTATCAACTCATCAACTACTAAACAAACGAAATTTTTTACTCTCCAAATGCCAAAACAATTTGCACACAAATTAAACACAACACAAATCCAATCTCCTTTCTCCCAAACTTCAAAACCACCAAACATACACGATAAACACAATAAAAGCAGCCTCTCTTTGCCTGACATAACAACCATGCCTTCTTCTTTAGATAATCTTAAATATATTCAGTGTAGATTCCCTTATAATTAAGCTGGGACATTGTAATATTTTATGGCTTCAAGCCAAAAATTTCAGATTTGCAGGGACAGAGAACAAAACAGTAAACACAGAATCAGAAAAAGTCTAAGAAGCATAAAGTCTGCAGTTGTAGGGAAAACCTCGGCGGACGGCAACTGTAGGGCGGCTAGCGACAAACGGATTCAGCACAATGTAGCTTCGATCGAAGAAATGAGTGAAGAACTGAAAATGCCGAAGACCGAAGTGAAGACGAAATGAAATGCAAACGACAAACCTCGATGAACGACGACTGTAGGGAGACCGACGGCAGACGGATTCGACACATCGGTGGTCGATCAAAGAAATGGGTGAAGAACAGACTGGTGGAAGTAGATGTCTACTGAATTAGAAATGAAATTGAAAAAGGTNGGATTCAACACAATTTAGCTTCGATTGAAGAAATGAGTAAAGAACTGAAGATGCCGAAGACCGAAGTGAAGACGAAATGAAATGCAAACGACAAACCTCGATGAACGACGACTGCAGGGAGGCCGACGGCAGACGGATTCGACACATCGGTGGTCGATCAAAGAAATGGGTGAAGAACAGACTGGTGGAAGTAGATGTCTACTGAATTAGAAATGAAATTGAAAAAGGGTTTCCAATTTACAAAATGCATTTAACCCGGTTTTGTGCCAAAAACGGTAGGACGGACGGTAAGCTACAGTAACACAAAGTGAAATGCATATACCGGTTTTTATCCCTTTGAAACCTGGCCCAAGCTTCAGTTCTCGGTTAAACCGGTCCAACCAGTCCATCCAAGCCGGGTTCGAAAACATCAGGGGTATATCACTGTTTTAAAATCCAGACTGGACCGTCCAACCGGTTGGATCGGGAACCGGTCACGTGTCCAGTCGAGTCAAAATCAAACCCGTTCTTATGCATTAAACCGCTTTAACTCGGTCAAAATTCGGATAAAGTCAATGACTGCCAGTCCAACAACCAGTCTGATTTCAGAAACCCCTAACCCTATGCAAACGCGCAACCCATTCCATTGATTTCCTTTCTCTGTTTCTCAGCTTCTTCTCCTTCCTCAGTTTCTCTATTAAAATTTCTCAGATTTATCAGCTTCTCTTCGAAAATTTCTCTCTGAAATCCCACTCAAATCACAATCAACTCCACTCCCTAAGTCTGAAATCGAAACTGAACTCCCTCGCCGAAAATCGACGACGTCTTCCTCCCTTACCAGAAATCAAGCTGAGGAGGGGTAGAGGGCGGCACTGTTGTGGCGTCGCTCATAGTGAGGGTAGAGCACGACGACGTTGTTCACTGCAAGGGGAGAGGACAACGACATTGCTCACGGCGAGGGAAGAGAATGATAGCGTCACTCACAGTGAAAGGGAATGGACAGTGACATCATTTGCTGTGAAGGAAGAGGATGGTGGTGTGACTGATTGGGAAGGGAAGGGACGGCAGCGGTTTGGGTAAAACACGAAGGGTAAAATTAATTGACTTTATGTAGTAGTAGCTTCGTAAAGGAATCTGCGTGAAACTTACGATAGAAAAAATGTTATATAATAAAACAAGAAGAAGAAGAAGAGAGTGAGATCATGTGAGTCCCACTTTTGTTCTCTCTCAACTCTTATTGACTGTATCAAAGTCTTACAGCCCACGCCTGTCGGGAGGGGCTGACCCGTGAGTGATATTTCCTAGACTAGTGTGTGATAATGATCTTAAAGCATGTGCTTATGCTATTATAATATAAGACCCCTAAGCTTATATATAATAAACAAGTATTTGAACATGACATTATTCCTTTTCAAAGATTGTTTACGATACGGCACAAGAAATGCACTGCTCCATTTGTTTTGTTCTTAATTAATTACGTTAGATCGTCCATATGATCTTGTGGTTTTCCGTTGGGTGGTGCGTCACTCACAGTGAAAGGGAGTGGACAGTGGCATCATTTGCTGTGAAGGAAGAGGACGGTGGTGCGACTGATTGGGAAGGGAGGGGACGGCGACGGTTGAGAGTGGTTTTATCCTCTTCCTTCGCATTTCGCTGTGAGGGAAATGGGGATTTCGACTGAGAGTGGTGGTGGAAGAGGAAGAGGATAGACGATGGTTGAGATTGGCAATGGGGTTGTGAGTGGTGGTGGAAGAGGATAGACAGTGGTGGTGGTTATGGTTTGTTATTTGAAAGGGAATTGGAGTTTTTGATTTAGTGAACCCCTTTGTAAATATAGTCTTTCTGTTTTACAAAGGTGTTTTGAACTTGTTGCTGTTACTGGGATTATGAGTTTCAAGTGTCATTTTAGTTTTGTTAAGTTGTACATCAAATGTTCACGGTGTATTGTTGAGACAACCTATGGAATAAAATATTTCTTTTTAGGTATTTTGTCATATGTTAATTTCTCTAATAACTGGTTATTATTTGCACAAATTAGAAGATGTCTACTCTCTAATAACTGGTTATTATTTACACAGGTTTTTTTAAATGTGTTGACATCATCATGCTATGTGATGACATCACCGGTTCAATCGATTAAACCGTGACCCAAACAGCAGAACAAATTACCCTCCAGTCCGGGTTTTAAAACAGTGGGGTATATTAGAAAAATTTTACTTTATTTATTTTTTTATTTCATGAAGTCCATGTATTATAGGATTTCTGCTGTAGGATTTTTGTCACGCCTGGCTATATGAAGGCATAAATGATTAAATGCCACTACTGAAACTAGTTATAAGTGTATTTTGTCCAACAAGCACAAATGGAACTTGACAACACCAAAACTATACTTCATTTACATCAAAACAAAATGAAAGCTTACAAAACTCCACAATCGCAAGCTCACAATATTAAATTACATATTATCAAAACTGAATAAAAGAATGTCGACTAGACCAAAGACTCTCAATACTCTAATTCTTTATTTATGTACAAACTCATCCTATTATTAGCCAAAAGCAGGCCTCCACAATAAAATAAAAAAAAAAAAAAAAGGCTAAGGACTTGAAATGTATGGACACTTTTATGGTTTATCTTTTAAAAAAAATAAATAATGGACAGAGTCCTTCCACCAGCCACCCTCATCAAATGTTTCTAAGATTAACTCTTTTTGAGATTACAACCGCCCCACTTGGACTTATCTCCTACCAGGCAAAGCAGTTATGTCTCCCTTATCTTACGCCAACGTTGCACCAAATAAAGAAAGCCCCTGCACGTTTTAACTAATGTTTTAGCTTGCAATGAAGTCTTATCTAAAAACTATTTTTTCTTTTCCAAGAAACATAACCATGCATGATAAGCACAGATGATTAACCTTTTTCGGCCATAGGGAACTGAGCATTTGACTTGGCTGTACCAAGCCAAGCACGTTATTAGACAGTGCAACAAAGCTGTTTAATAGAGCTGATTCTAGTCTGGATATGATCCGACAAATGGGGCATAACTGGAGGTCTTCACCACATTCACAGCAAGTCTGAGCAAAAAGAAGAGACCAACTCAATTAGGTTTAATATAATTATGCAAGTAATGTCATGGTCAAATAAAGTGGAGGATATACAAAGTAGTTATTTACCTGAGTCCACAGCCAAGGCCATGTCCTTTGGATTAGTAAGACAAATGGGGCATAACGCTCGAGTCACCAAAAAAAAAAAAAAAAAAAAAAACAAAAAAAAAAAAAAAAAAAAAAAAAAAAAAAAATTGAAGAGTTAATGCCCTTAAGTTAATTCAGATAATTGGTTAGAACAATGATTAAGGTAACAAGATAATGACATTGACAACAATAAAAATAGCAAAAAACCTGATTTGGTAACAATTCCAACATTGTACAGAATCTGAATTGATAGCAAACTTACTTAAATTAACCATATTATCTTTCATGGAACAGACTGTATACCTGGTTATCATATAAAGAACTTGAAGATGGTGCTGTGCTGACTGGTGTATCATATCCAGAATGAGCAGGCTCCTGTGCTTCATATCCAGAATAGGGAGGTCTAGATTGCTGAAAACTGCTTGAGCGTGATGGTGGTTTTGAGCTTCTGCCGTTGAATGATGATGCATTATAGAGAGGCGGGGGAAGAGAAACCCTGTCTGGAGCATTTACTCCCTGCTTGCGGCTTTATAAATGGAATAGAAAATAAATGGAATATTTCATATTTTAAAAATAACTCAAAATGAAATGTGAACCAGTAAATAAATAAATAAACCCTCTATGTTAAAATTAGATAGTTACCCTAGTATGCCAAGCTCAATAGTTGCTTTATATTGAGAAGGTATTTCCATCAATGCTGAAAGAGCAAATTCCGTCTGCTTCCTGGACGGATCCATGTTCTTTGACATGATCTCTGTGAAGTTCACAAACTAGCAAGAAAAAAGAAAAAGAAGTAAGGCTTCCCTATTAAGCTTATTGGACAAAATGAGTCATTATATTTCAGCAAGTAAAAGAGACCAGCTACTGCTTACCTGAAAATTATCGAATGCCCGATAAGGGATGTTATCATCAAACTCCTTCATCATGTCCCAAGGCCCATCTCCAACACCGACTAAAACTATTGACAAAGGGAATTGGCTGCAAATAAACAAGGACGTAAGTATGCATTTGGCAAGCTATAAGTAGCAAGTTTCTGAAGCCTACCTTGCTTTAACAATTGCATCAATTGTCTTTTGCTCTTGCGGGCTTAGTTGACCGTGCTGTGTATCAACACTTCTTGTAACCTAGCACAAGAAAATTTTTGTGAGACAAAAGTACTACAACAGAAACTAGGTAAGTAAAAGCCATCCTAGTATATATATTATTCACCCGGAAGGGGAAAACTAGGATCACATAGGTATACATAAAGATTAAAATTGAAATACGGACTAAAAAATTTCTTTTCATTTACGAGCATTCCCCTTTGCCAATCAATGACAAAATCACTAGAACTGATCACAGCTTCGTTGATTTGAAACATTTCTCCCTCCTGAAGTCATCTAAATCATTTTAACTAAGATTGAACTTCTTGAGAAAGCAATCTTGGAATACTTTATTCAATTTTTGCACAGTTTTTGTTACTTGTTACCTCAATTATGCACAGCAGTAAAAATGTCAAGCTTTCCCATTCCAGTACTTCTCACACCCAATTTGTGGTCAAGCATCAGTTGTAACTTGTAACTAATAAGCATTATCCCCCAATATGCTCGAGTGTTTGTCAGGGAAACTTAGATTTTAGTCTGATTCAGATATGTCCCAAGGATTTGCCTCATACAAAAACCTTAGTACTTCAATTCCTGTAGAATTGTTTTGTAAACTCTGACCGAATAATTAATATGTACTACAAATTATATTCATGGTATCAGAATTTTCTAATTCTGGAATCTAAGAATAATAGTCATCAGAATGTCCTGTTCTATTCTTGCAGATCCTATGGGAAAAAATTCTTATACGGAAGGTTATAAGCCTGGTAAAATTCCATCAGCCATCATGGCACTCTTGAAACAAGACTTGAAAACTGGCTCAAGACCTAATTTATTATACTTGCTGTTGGAGTCTCACATCGACTAGGCACGCTTGCAAACAATAATTTCTCATTAAAGCAAGTTTTCCACCTTAAGAAAATTACCTGCCCATCAGCAATTATTAGCAAAACATGGTACTGGCCACCACTTTGCTCAACAATGGTCATGGCCATATCAATAATGGGTGCAAATGAAGTTGGTCCTGTGATGAGAAAACATAAAACACATCTTATAAGAACCAAGAGGTTAAACTTCCAGAATACCATAAACAAGTCGACCAAATCAGTGGAAGCAGGCACCTGCAAGTCGAAGGCTGGGAACAATTTCTCTATACCGTTGCAGCACTTCCTCAAATCCGTTACAGAATCTCTCATCTGGATAGAAACTAAAGACATCTTGATCATGTGTTGATGCTGCAACAAAATTTAAGAGACAAATATCAGCTCCAACACCCAAACATCATTCTTCCTTGAAGAAGATACTAAAGACAATGGTTCACTATGGTATGTTACCATCTCCAAATCCAAAACAAGGAATTAAATTATCCTCGTCAAAAGCGGATAAAGTCTGTCCAATAATGGATATTGCTTGTTCATAGGGATTTTGACCATGTCCAATGTGATGCAAACTTCTCCGGTTGAATGACCTTGCACCTGATTCATAAAAACGGTTAAGCTAGCTGAATCAGATCATTATAGAAGTTGAAAGCATCAAGATGACACTAAACCTGTCCATTCATTGCTCTTTGTGAAATCTATACCAACAATGAGATTAGAAGACTCCAAGCCGGCATGTGCAAGAGCAGAAGTAACCTGTGAGATTAATCACCCTCATTATATTCAAATGTAGAACCATTTTACAAATGAAATAATTTCAGTAAGCTAAACTGCGCAGCAGTATTGAATAAAGGTGCATTAAAAAAAAAAAAAAAAAAAAAGAATGGGAGAAGAAGAAATAAAGCGCATAGTTTTTATCAATTAAATTGGATCTTCCTAGAATAAGGAAATATATTTTTCCATTTTTCCAATTCTAAAATTAATTCCTGGCATCCCCCTCAATCATATCATCACCTCCAAAAAGTTTTCATATATACTGTTGTTGACAACTAAACTTAAGTCAGAGCAAAATCCCTGCTTTTGGTCATCATCAGATTCTCATTCCTCCTCAAAACCATGTGACCATCCCGCCACTTAATTCATAAAATAAAAACCAAAACAACCTTAAAACATCAAAAGTTACATAAGACTAACCTGTTCCAAAGTCTGGTAGTTATCATCTATCCTTGAATACTTCCTATCTAATCTCCTTTGAGGCTGGGGCGTTTGTGATCCATAATTATATGAGGGTGGAGGCGCATAGTGATGCTGGGGCGTAGTGTAATATGGGCTCTGTGGTGGATATGACGATGGCGGGTAGCCGTAATTGTTCCACGAAGAAGAGCTAGCAGATCCTCTTGAAGAATAATGTCTCCCAGTCGACCCTTTCGAGCTTTTACCTCCCATCACCAACAGAATCTACTCAAAATACAACTAAAAAACTTTATTCCCCGAGGAAACGATTTATATAACTTCACCAAATAAACAGCCTTAACAAGGCATTTATACATCAAAGTTCTTGACTTTATCACAAACCCAATTGAAATACCTGGAATTTGCTAAAAATTCGTAATGAATGACTGAGCAAATAGAAGAATGAATGGTTTATCAATATGACAATGAAATTAAAAACGAAATTTCTGCATAGAAAAACTAGGCATATGAAACAAAGACCAAAAACTTAAAAAAACGGCCGCTTAACATGACTTGTTCAAACAGCGCCGACCATTGTTGAAAATAATTACTTGTAAACTGAAAACTTAACGATCAAGAACTTGATGAAATTCAAAACTCCAAAGCCAGAAGAAATGCTACCTGGGTATTGTATTGTAAGGAGAAATAAACACGCAAGAAGAGACTACCGGTCTAAAATAATAATTCACATACGTACCCTCACCAACAACAACAAGAAATACTGCTTGCACAGAGAGTCAACTTTTAGAGTTTTAGTTCACTATTTCAACTCAATCAATTGGGTTAATTTAAATACTAGCAATAGTGAATTATTGAATCCAGTATAAATTAATGATTAATATGAGACAGTGACCCCAAAATTCCGGGTCATCAGCTTTCTTAATAATAATATATAAATTTTAATTACAATTAGGCCAATAATACAAGAGTATATTCTAATCATGATGTCAATATGTACTTTGGCTTATGAAATTCCCATTAATTTAATCCTTGTAGATTTATGGGGATAATTTTCCATTTTAAACTTTCAAATAAAAAGATATTTATGTTTTAATAAATAATAAATGATGTCAAAATCTCAAAAGAAAATGACATCATAAATTTATATAATAAAATAATAAAGTTTGGAGACAAAGTAAAGGAGTTGGTGAGGAGGAGGCAAAGAGTGTGAACCTATCTTTTTTGGTGGAGTGCTTTTGACAGGAAACTTCCCTCTAGTCAAGTCAACTCTCTGATTGTGAGTCAATTTGATTTAGAAGTTCTAGAATATATATATATGTGCGCAATTTTATATTTTCCTTCTTTCTATTTAAATTAATTTTATTTATAAAATTATTCAAATTTATTGTCCAAGTTACTACAACTTAAATTTTAACTTTTAATTTAGAATATACAAAATTTCAGGTTGATGTTAAAAATAAAATTAATTATTTTTAATATAATAAACTAATTAAAATGAGTGGATTATGGTGACTGATCATGAATTAATACCATAATTTAAAAAAAAATATTATATATAGATAAAGTTGTCTCAAAATGTTGGCCATTGAATAATTTATTTAAATAAACAATTGAAAATAATATAAGATGATAAATTAGACATCGCAAATGGGTGGGTACAGGGAAAACGGTTACAAGTCAAATGGGTAAAGGAATGTAACACCCATACCCGACCTTGTGGGTACCGGTGAACCTGTGGGTCACCCGTTTTTTCCAAATATATTTTTTCTTTTGCCCTGGTTTGTTTTAATCTTTTGAATCATTTTTATGTTTTCTTATTTGGATTAAAAAACCGTATATGTATTTTTTTATTATAAAAATTATTTTGAATCAAATAAGATTTTTTTATTAAAAATAAAAAAGTGGGTGTGACTTGTTTTCTATTATCCTATTCTAATATTTTTTCAACTTTATACAACTAAAAATAATTACATTTCACAATAAAAGTTTATATAAATTAACAAAAACACTCACACCCACCCAAGCCACTACTAGTTGTTAGCAACCACCACTACCATTGTCAGCCACTGTCGATGTCGGAAGATGCATGACCGGTCAGATCTAGTATGTCATGTGTCGACCTAACTGTTTCCAGCTAGATCTATGACCAGAGATCTGGCTGTTGACGGCTAGATATATATGGTTGTCATTGACGGCTAGAAATCTGATAAAAAAAGGTCAAATTGATGTACGACTGGCCAAATCTAACCTGTCGTGTGCCATTTCGGCAACTTCTGGTAGCCGTCCAATGGTGGTGGCTAGTTGCCGACAGTTTTTGGGTGGTTAGAGGTGTTTTTGTTAATTTATAAACTTTTATTGTAAGAAGATGTTTAGCTAGATTAATAAATATAACGGGTTAAAAATTAACCCAAACGCTTTCAAAAAATATTTAAAAAAAATGTATCAAACAATTATTTTAATTTTAAAATATTATTCTAAATACATTCTCAAAATCCTATCATATTTGATTTAATCTTATTTGATTATATCATATTTACATAGTTTTTCAAAATAATATTTTTTTCAAATAATCAATCGGCCTTTTGATTTTGATTTTGATTTTTTAATTTAAGTCTTATTAATTTTTAATTTTTAAAGAGATGAATGTGATTGTTGGTTTGTGAAATAGGTTCTTTGTTCTCTTCTTATCCTTTGTGTCCATGGAGGAGGGTTTTCTTTGTTTTTTTTCTCTATGGCGGTGATGGTGGTTGAGGATTACTTAGATCTGGGATTCGGCTTCCTTTATTGTTCTATCTTGTAGTTGAATTTTGGTGTAATTGATTTAGGTTTGGTTTGTTTATTGAGCAACAGGGGTTATTACAGATGTAGCAATTCAAAGGGGTGTTTGGCCCGTAAACAAGTGGAGCGAAACAGATCGGATCCGGTTATGTTCATAGTAGCATGCACAGCAGAGCACAATCACCTAGCAGGCTAGCACCAACCAACCGAAACTCACTCGGCGGCAGCACGCGCCAGAAACCCGTGACGCCTCAAGGCCAAACCACCACCACCAGTAGTGACTCTAACAAACCCCCTTTTCTTCAGACAAAAAATGGTTTTGTATGTGTTGAGGCCATTAGCGAGTCTTGTAGATGAAAAGAGAATCAGTTGTGTTTTATTAACGTATACCAGTAAAGTAGCAGTGTAGCGTAGTAATGAAATCTTCCTCTTTTTACGTTTAAATGGATTGATGGCTAATTAGTTATAGCACTTAAATTTTGGAGTTCTTAGGAAATTAAACTTGTTCGGATTATTGTGTTCTTTATGATATCTGTTAAGGCTAATATGATTTTCATTGCTGCTTCTGCTCGTATGTGATTTACAGATGATAGCAGATTGTGATTTCGAACATTCACATGCTACATATCATTCTTGGAGCTGCATACGCTTAATTGTTTTGTTTATTTCATATCCAGGTCGAAAGGGTAATGCTGGAAATATGGGAAAGAAAGGGAGTTGGTTTTCCGAAATCAAGAGGGTTTTTGTGGCCCACTCCAAGTAGAAACTAGCCAATGTAAGTGATCCTAAATTCTGGTGTGTGTTGTGAAACAGTTGAAAGGAAGAGTGAATCTTTTTGGCTAATTCTTCTCTGATTCTTGATCATACTGCAGGATTCAGATAAGAAAAGGCATTTCTCTAATTTTTTTTTTTTTTTTTTAATTTTGCTCATGTATCACCCGGCCCACCCATAAAAATAACGGGCGGACTGGGTAATTTTCCCACGGGTATTTATAAAGATTATGGGGATACCCATGGACCCATAGATACAAATCCCTTTTTTTGCCAGATCTAATGATGTGGAAAATGTTGACTTTTTTTTTTCAACTTTCTCTTACAACTTTACGAGGCAGTTTGTATTTAATCAGTTCACGATTGATCTCATCTGATATATAAATTATAACTTACAAATTGCATTACTCCTAATGTCCTAATGATAATTGTTGAGATGAAGAGTAATTAAGATAATACCCTGTAAAACTTACCACCTAAGTGCAATTGAAAGATGGAAAACACGAGAGTTAGCCAACCATACCAATACCACCCTTCCTCATAAACATGTGATACTCATTATATATTTATATTATTTGTGCTTAATGGTCTGTGTATAAACATGTTTTTCATACTAATTAACAATTATAATGCGTTTGACGCCCTTAGTTATCAAAGTATAATTCTAGATTCTGCATTATTTAATCTTTGGGTTAATTAAACACTAACTAATTGTTAGGAATATTTCTATTATTAAATCACTTTTGAAATATCGCACTGCTCATATGCAACATGTATAAATGAATTTCCCAAATTATAAATGTTGTCATTAGAATTATTTAATTAGCTATCAATTGAATTAAATTTTCTCATGATCTGGTTAGCTAGTTAGTAAAAAGGAAGACAAAGAATTGACTGTTTCCTGCGCAACGAAACCCTGGATTTATTTGGAACTACAAGTGGCACTATAAGATAATAGTGACGCGGGAGCATAAAAGAAAAAGAAATTAAATTAAATTAATTATACTTATATTAACTTTTGTTTTGTTTCACATGGGAGAGATATGCTTTACTTTTTCACTTGTGAGGTTATAAATAAAGTCTTATTTTGTCCTTTGTAATCATCCTTGAATATTATTAAATATGTTTAGAGTTAAAACATTTGTTTTCTCTTCCTATTTGAGGTTATAGTTATCTTTGGTTTAGCTAACCAAGGTGGTTGTAAACCCCGTGTTATTATTCTGATGCCCTAAGGTATGAAATTTACCTTTTCAAGTAATTTTCTTTTTTTTGAATGGAAGGGTAAAATGGTCAATTTACATGTATTTCAAGATGTGACTATTATAAAGTGTAAGGGGTGATGTCATTGAAGAGAAATGAGGGTAGAATGGTCATAAAATTGATTGATATGGTTAAATGGCATAAACGGTAACCAAGGGTAGAATGGTCTTTTCATACAAATCCATATGAAATAAGTATCCATAAAAGTGCACCAAGGGTAAATTAGTCATTTATCTAATGGGATTGCTTAATTGTTAAATGTTTTAAAGAAGTCAAATGGCATTAAATTAGTGCTAATCATTATGTTGTGGTAGAAATGATCAAAACGCCCTTATATGAAAAATTTATGCCAAATGACCCTTATATCTAACTTTTATTAGCCAATCACATTATAGTAACAATGGAATAAATATTTACAAGGTTTTAAGAGAGAGTAGTCGGCCTTATACACCCCAAATGCATCATCTTCTTCTTCATCTCTCAAATCCACCATAAAAGCCACTAATCCAAGTATTTTATTCTCAAATTTTCTTAGGATTTCAAGTTGATTTTCAAAGGAGATCACCATCCACACTTAAAGAACTTCAATTTTAGGGTTTAAGGTGAGTTTCAAAACCCTAGTTTTTCTGATCTTTAAGTTAAAAGAGCAATTCATAAGTGGTTATGTGTGTAAGGTAGAAAGGGTGAACCTTTGGAGCCAATGAGGAGTGTCTTTGTGCTTTAAATACTAAGGTAAGGAAAAAATCTCCCTTATGACTAC